TCACCCAAACATCCAATTGCCTTTCTAGATCAAACCACAAAGGTTCTTGAATTTCTAGTTCATAAATACACTGAAAACTAGGGCTATAGTTCGGCCAAAGCCTACAGCTCCTAAGCTTTCACATTTTAGACCAAATCCAATGAACCAACAAAGGGATGGGATTCTGGACCAATCAACGGAGTAAGATCGGGTGTTCCGGACCACTCAATGAAACCAAAAGGAAATGGGATTCCAGACCACTCAATGGAATCCAAACGGAACACAATTCTAGACCACTCAACTAAACTACGGAGAAATAGGCATTTCAAACGACTTAATAGAATCCAGACGAAGCAGGGTACCAGACCACTCAACAAGGCCCCAAGCATTCAACGGAACCGAGTAGATTTCAAGGAGCTTAGATTAGAACAGCTCAAAACAACTCCCTATGACAACGGGGTAACGGTCCTCTACTAGCCCTCAAGTTTCAAAAACATTTCAAATACCATTTCACGGATAGATAAATGACACATTTTCAAAGTAATATTTTAATAGAAATTACATTTATAAATCCATGTAGTATCCACAAAGCATACTAGCATGAGAAATTTTTAGTAATAACCAATATCACACATGTTAAAGTCACTCACTTGGAGTTTGCGCTACGGCTCCCTAACACAAAGATTGATGCATACATGGACAATTGTCGCCTAGAACAAGGCACAAGTCCCATTTCAAAATTTTAAGATAAAACACATAATTCTAGCTTGCACACATTCTCTACAACATTCTAAAACGATTCATGACACATTGACCAAAAGACAACTCTCGATCCCTTGCCTTCCCTCTTTTGCCTTCATCCCTTAATTCCTCCTCCTAATTCCCCTCCTTACCCGCTGGTTTTTTCTCCCCTCCCTCCAAACCATTTTTTTCATCACCCTCTTTCTCATCACCCTTTTTCTTCTTGTACATTACTGCCACTTTGACCACCCTTGTCTTCTTCTTTTTCATCTTCTTTATCTCATTCCTCTTCTTTTGCCTTTTCATCTTCTTCTCCCTTTTCTTCATCTTTTCCTCCCTCTACAACTTGATCTCCCACATCTTTCTTTTCTTCTTCTTCTTCTTCTTCTTCTTCTTCTTCTTCTTCTTCTTCTTCTTCTTCTTCTTCTTCCTCTTCTTCTTTTTCCTTAGCATCCTCATCCGCATGTTTTTCCTTCATTAACCTCCTTAATTCCTCCACCCCCTTCGACAGCTCTTCCACTTTCTTCAGCAAAATGATGTTTGATATCTCCTTCTTGTGGGCCAGACGCACGAATGACACCTTCAACTCCTTCAACTGCATTTCAACTCACCGACATCATTGTGTCAAGAGTCAAGTTCTCAGGAATCACAACATCTGCATCATCCCCCCCCCCCCACGTCCAATTCTCTTTATTCTTCTCCGCTTCAGTCAGAAAATTTTCTATAATCTGCACATCCTACCATTTAAGGCCACGCATCATAAATACATTTCTCACACATACAATAATCACACACGTTCACTTTCATTCATAAAATTCAAAAGTTTTGCAATACAGTTATACCTCTCAACTCTCAATTATATACAATTGCAGCTCCTCGTGAATCGGTTGCTTCTTCGTTGTCTTCCACCGCAAAATTCTCAATCTAGGTGCCGGATCTGCCATCTTGTAGTAACGTAGAGGCTTCTTAAATTGCGAAGTTTTTTCATATGCCCTTACCAGCACGTATTCCTCAATAAATGAATACTCAATCACATTAATAAAGCCAATAGTACCAATGAAAGTAACATATATTACCTGAAAAGCGTACGAAAATCCTTTGCAGCCCCATCTAGACTAATGCTCCTCTTCGTTCCCCTAACTTCTTCTTTATCTTCCTCCTCATTTCCTTCACCATCTCCTAAACTCTACCTCTACCTATCCTTAAAGCAGCAAACGAGAGGTTGTCTCAAAGTTGTTCAAAAGAGATGGAACCTCATGAAAAGTTGTTGAACCTATCCATATCCTCCACGAGGTCAAACTAGTCTAGATTCACAACAATATAGTTCTTCGCCTCTATCAATATAGTCTTAGCAACGTATACCAGACCTAACTTGAAGGCATCGTCGCTGTTCTTGAACTCCTTAAACGCCCTTTCAAGCTCCCCGCAAGTCATGGATATTTATTTGGTGACTTTCTTAGGGACAACATTGGCTTTACCTTTCCCATTTTCTTTCCTCCCCTTGCTACTTTCACCTATCAACCATAATTTCTCGAAAAAAATACTCCCTTAGTAGCCTAATCCTTTGGGGCTCAACTTCTATGTCATGGGGTTCGCAACATCGTAGCCAGGTAATGAGGCAGAAATCCTGCTTTGTGAATTGGGTCAATTCACAACGTATTAAATAGGTCAGCCTTTCTAGGTCTTTAACCCCTTCAATTTCCACTCTACATAGAGACAACTCATGGACCAAATGCCCACTGAAGGATGATTCATACACACCCGAAGATGGCCAGAGCAGGATGTCCTAAAGGCACCAAGTTGTGCCTCATTAAACTTCTCCTTAAACAATCCTCACACAGAGGGGCTTGGGATAGGCTGTTAACCCTTCCCCTGTACCCTTTTTCTTCTCTGGTTGCTATTTCAACACCTTGGGTTGCCATATCTTGTACACGTAACAGTACACAAACATCAACAATAAACAACACATAACCTTACAACAACCTGTCGCGAAAGCTTCATAGCTACAACATCTACTGTGAACAGAGCATCATTACTTGAGCAATTTCAAGTCCCACCATAAAATGAACAATAATTCAGACATAAAAATCAATCCCTACCACCATAAAATTAACAATAATTCATATACAAAAATCAGTCCCTATTCAAAACTACAACTTTACCAAAACAACAGATAATGATCTAGCCTCTACACAACCTGTCAACATAGCTTCATAACTTCACAACACACCCAAATTTCTAAAACATTTCACATATATCCACAAATTCCAATTAATTACATCAAGAAAATGCATAATTAACCTTAAACCTAACTTAATTATACCATTTAACAAACATAACAAAATTAAATTTTACGGTTCCATTTTCAAAACTCAGCAAATTTGAAATTCACTGGAGGAATCAATTATGACGTCTATTATCATGGAAGCACTCTGAACCCAACTTGAATGAAGCGAAAAGCATGTCCTTTCTATGGAACCGACTGCACAGCTTTCAACCAAAGTCCCCTGATTTTCTTCACTGTTTCTGGAATTTCTATGAGGCCGGACAACACAAGCACAGACGTTGATAATTGGGTTTCGAATGGGAAGCAAGTTTTCGAATGGGAAGGATGTCTTTGACGCCAATGTTTGAGCAAACGCGGGAGATAGAGTGTTTTTGGAGGAGGACAAGACTTATTCAAGATGGTAAGTGTTGATGTCAGATGAACAGTTTAAACCTTAGGAAATTTTGATTTCATGCCGAATACCATTTTAATTAAGTGACAGGTCATTTATGACCCAATTTCACTCTAAGCTCATTATGATGAATTCATTTTCAATAGTTCAATTTTCATCCAACGGCCCATATTCCGTCTGCACCTTTGAAACGGTGTAAGTCTATTGAGCAAATTATAAGTAGCAGACAAAGCCCCTGTGGTGGTGTGTGAGTTGACAAGGCAACATAAGCAATCTGAGCATAGTATAAATAAAGGAGTAGGATTCTCTCCCCTCCTAATCTCCATCCCATTCCCTCCCCTCCTATTTGAATGGTTAGGGTTATGCCACGTCAACATTTTGTGTTAATTTTTTAATAGCCAGAAGAAGACAAAAATCAATTTATGAGAGGAGGGAAGGGAAGAGGGTGGGAATAGGAGGGGAGAGAATCCTACTCCATAAATAAAACACATAAACCCAGTGGCACTGGAATAGCATCAATCAAAAGCTCCAACAGTTACAGTGTAGTGTACAACTTTTACACAATTATATAGAGAAACCTACAGTGTAGTGTACAACTTTCACACAATTATATAGAGAAACCATGATTGTTAATGGCTGCACATAATTGTGTGGTGTGTGTCTTGCCTCACATTCTAAATTTCTAAATTTAACTTGGTTAATGAATTTGGATCATGTCACTTTATATTTTTTTTTATATGCTTATAAAAGTATGAAGTGTACACTTGAACAATCAATTAGTTATGAATATTTTTACCGTGCGGTTAATTGCACCATTTTAAAATGTGAATGTGTAGTTCATATTATTAATATTGGCGAGAGGGTGGGGATTTTTCAATGTGAACGGAACATGGAATGGTATTATACAAATAGTGGGATATATGTGTTAAAAAATTAATAACTTTAAAAATAAAATTTCCCACAACTTATATAAAAACACATAATATACCACTTGTGTTCGGATCATAATGAAAATTTTCTAATAGGAAATAAGCTCAGGCCCTCGAGTATTGTCCCAAGTGAATAGCACACGAGTCTGACTCAAGAGTATGCAGTAAGGCAAGCCAATGGGGTTGCTCACTTCTCGGCTAACTTTTGTGTCATTCTTCGAGATGCTTTGGTTCGATGAACCTCTCGATTTTATTCAATTCATTATAAGCTAATTATTCATTGTTTATCCTTCAGAAAAATTAAAAATTAAAATCTGTTCCATTCCCATTAATTAGCATCACATAAATAAAGCAGGACCGGAAGCAGTTCTTGTGAATAACCAAAGCATCCCATCCCAATAAAGAGAATACAGATAGTTTGTTTTGATAGTAATAGGGATAATTGGAGCAATACTCCCTCAACTTTCACTCAATTGAAGTTTCGGTCTCTAAACTAAAAATCCGTCAATATTGATCCCATAACTCGTTCTAATATACAACAATGGTCCTTTTAGCTAACTCCATTAGAACTTTCATCCTTTTTTTGCTCCTTTAAACTCTTTATTGGTCCTTGAACTTGTTACTGAATAAAAGCTTTTTAGAAAAAGATTCAGGTACCACTTTCACTTCCAAATTAAAAATGCTAATTAGAAGCAACTGTCATAAAAACATTTTTAGAAAGTAAAATATAGGAGACATTGTTGATATATGAACAGGAACAGTAACTCAAGGATGAAATTACACTAAGCTATGACACCACTAAAACTGACCAAAAGTACAAATTGTACAGCAAAATCTTACCTTTTGAATCTTTTTATTCATAAACCTTCTATCTGCTCAAGGGTACAGAAGTGTGCATTAACACTTTTCAGAGTTTCTTGATCAATTTCGGTAGCGCTAATCACTTTAGGAAACGAACAATTCCACTCCTTTCCGGGCTCCGAATCATTCTTTGCAGTATGTTTCTTCATTATGTCAGCGTCTTCCGATTCTGTTCTACCAGTCAATTTGTGTTCACTGAAGAGCTGAGATTTCAACTCCAAGCATGCCTTCAAATCCTCCTTGTTTCGGGCTTTGTTCAGCTTATCAATGAGATCGCCAAAAGCAGAAGTCCTTCCAGCCCACCGTGTTTCTTCTTTTTTAGGCCCTTTATCCAATCCATTTGGCACACTTGATTTCTTGCCCCCGTCATCAAACTCGCATTTCTGAAGCTTCTTTAGTCCCTCGTCAACAATTTGCTGTATCCTCTTTCGGAAGTTACTGGTTCTCGTTGGATTTGATCTCAACTTCAACTTCAGTCCTGACACCGTAGCCTCAGTGTTATCTTCTGTAGTATTAGTAGTAGTATTTTGGTTTGATATGGATGATCCATCCCTCATCGACTCCTCTGCAATAGATTCCACAGAAAACACTTGCTCTAATAGGCTGACGTTCTGCATGTATCGATCAAAAGCTTCATTTTCCACTTCAATGTTTCCGTCCTTGTATTCCCTCAACTTGGAAAATCTCCACTCATTAATAGCCACGGCATCCTGACATTAATATTTTTCAGTTAGAACAAGTCATTCTCACTGTGAAAATAGTACAAGAACAAATAGATGGTACCAAAGGACATGCACCTTTCTGGTCAAAGGCCTCTTCGAACGAAGCGGAATATGCAGATTATTGAATTGAGCAAAATTGATCGAAAGTTGCCGGAATGATGCAACTCTATGGGAATTCCTGAAATACAGCCAACAATGTAAGAAAATCTACATCCACAATGAAAACAGTACTTGCTTTGAAGACCTTTACTGAATGACGTTCCCATGGCAGCCAAGGCAAGCAGGAAAAAATAGAAAGGGTTGAAACATGGGAAGCTCAGAAGGCCAACTGTTAGAGTTAGGGAATAAAACCATCAAAGTTATGACTATAGAACAAGCTAGAAACCAGTGCAAATCTTCAGCCAATTGCCTTCCATAGGAAGATTCGACTTAATTAAAATCATCAATTTTTGACAAACCCATTCTCAAGTTAGGTCATAGTGAAATAGACTATAAACTTGGCTTCGCTGCCAACTATTTAAACCTTGAGCAATATGACACAATATTATATAAATGGTAGAAGAGCAATGCAGTTTTGTAGGGAAAACAATTTAATGACCAAATTCTTAGAGACAGAGAATTAAGATATAATCAGATGTTAAATGAGCAGCTGTTAGGAACTCACCCTGATGGTGATGCATCGGTTGATTGATGGTCAAATAGAGGAGAGTGTGAGGTTGGTGCCTTGTCTGGAAAAGTTGCATTTGTTTTCAAAACTGCAGAGACAATACAATATACAGTAAGGAGAAGGCAAAAACAAACATGCAAAGATGAAAAATCCAAACAAACAATTTTTTCTGAAAGGGACCAAAAAATCTCCTTAACAAGAGCTTACCCAAACATCTAGGCCTATCCATAGAAACCAAAACCATAAGATGATGCTCAATGCAGATCTCTTGATATATTTGAGAATGAAAAAACTAAGTTGGATTAATAGTTATATCTTAAAAAGACTAATAAAAAAAAAAAGGACAAAACTGATGACCGATCTTTCTTTTAGTCAGAACGAAAAAGAACAATGATCAATAAGCAGTCCATCAGGATCAAACACCTAAAATACAACTGAAATGCAAACTGAAATATAAACCAAAGAAAACAGTCCCACTTAATCTAAAATAGCAGACCAATCCAAATGGATAGGTGAAAATTCCCAAGCCCAAACCTGAACAGACCCATCATAAGTAACACAACCCCAAGAAATCATGCAAAGACATGCCAAAATCAAGTCAACATCCTACCCTTATCAAGACACCTTGCTGTCTCTGTGTAGTGTGAGAGAGCACTTGATGGTTCTGACACGCACAATTTAATAAGAATCTCACCTAGGTAAGCAACCATGATCAAAATTTTACATAACCAATCTTGTCCACCAATGGAACAGATTGCCACTTCATGCTTCTAAGCATAAATAGTTACCCGCTAGCATGCCAAGCCTATAACAGTATCACATTTAACCAGATGCCCCACTACTCTTCTATTTTTGCAACATTTCAAATATGGATATTCATCCAACACACCCAAAGACCTTAGGGCTAGGAACGCAGTGTTTCCGAGACTGTTCATGATGCTTTCAGCAGCTCAAAGACACTAAGCAGCCGTCATTATTCCCTAGGATCCACTTTAAGATTCCAACATTGCCACAGATAGCTTACTCAATCCTCTGCATAAGCATAAGTGATGTCATGGGTGGTGGAACCATACCTTTAAGCTATCCACTCTTTTCCTTTTTGGAAAAAGGGATGCTATGTGGAGTCAGCACTTCAGAAAAAAAATATATATTTTTACCGATATAGGAAACCACCAACTTTCCCTCATTTACACTCATCAGAGTAGTTGCTCAAAGCCATCAGCCATCACCAGACATAAAGCTGAAAGCCATTACTACATAAGATACCTAAAATTTCTCAGACCCCTCAAAAAGCGGCAGTTGTTGTCGTCATTCTTCTCCACGTTTCTCTATTAATTGGCATTGTTGGAAACCATACAGACAAAACCAAGCAATACAAGATTTTGTCCCAAAGCTTGAAATGAAAACTGTAGAAGATAAGCTTTGAAATGCCAATTGTAGAAAAGCATTACCATAACTTCACAAAATGCACAAGCACACCCCACCCTCCACAACAGTAAAGAAAAAATGAATATAATTATCCAACTTGAACAGACATACCATGAATATGACAAGGATTTTGAGCTTTTGAGCAGCAACTCTTACATGACTCGTATGGACACCTGCACATCCAAGGCATCTCAATAACATGAAACAGAAAGAAAGGATATTATTCTAAATGTAGTTATACAAACAAAACATATATTCAACACAATATAGCGTATGGTAAAAAACATATCAATAACATAGCACATTGTATATGAAGAAGAAAAAAAAAAAAAAAAAAAAAAAGATTCCTACACCATCATCCAGAATATCAACAAAGTCGGCACACTAAAGCTTATCTCCTCTTGGTGCTGGAAGGGGAAGGATCATAATTGAAATTAACATGGAAAACTTTATTTGGATGTGCCTTAGTGAGATCTGTGAACAAGACCATCAAACAGTAATTTCATTCTTTCTTTCTTTAGGTGGTGATGAAAATGGATTATCCTGAGTTCCTAAAGTGCATGTTTGGGGTCAAATGGTACTTGAACGAAGTTGAGGAGTGGCTGAAAATCAGAAGTTTGAAACTAAAAATGAAGAATGTCCTCTTTAAAGTCTCATTAACGCCATTCTAGGAGTCTCACCACAAACTTCCCAACTTCCAAGAATGTTAATTAATTAGTACTGGAGTATATCACATTATAAAGGCTTGCACATCAAGGTTAAATCCTGATACAGTAAGGAGAAGCTAGGCCCATAATTTACCAAGGAAACAATACTTCCTAATGGTACCTGGATAGTGGGTCTTGTCGATACGTGGAACAAGATTACCTAAATGGTATACTAGCTTCTTTCATGGTAAAGCTGTTCAAACAGTTCGCCTTCATCTTTTACTCTTCTCAGCAGCAGTCTTCATCCGCCATTGGACTAGCCAGCCCTCAGAACGTATTGTTGAGAGCAACTTTTCTTCTTCCATATTTCCTCCGTCCCTTTCTCGATTTCTCCTAATTTCTTTTTACTTTTCTTCAAAACTCTTAGTTTGAGGTTTGAGTCTATATCGCTGAGGAGATGGAACTAAGTTTGAAATACAAAAAAGATCGGGGTCGCCCATTTCTCCAATCTGTTTAGGGCATGCATTCTAGTAAAAAAAAAAATAATTAAAAAAAAAAAAACTAATCTCGTCCAACAATAACTACTGTACTCACTAAACACATTCAAATATTAACAACAAGTATCTAATTATCATGGTTACAGCGCTATTCTTTGCGCCAAATTCTAAAGTTGATTCAGAGGCATTCTCTCTTGAAGTTAATACCATCTGCACAGCTAAAAGGAGTCGTACTAAAGCTGATCGGCTTCATCAATGTAAAGCCCCCAATCGCATCATAAATTTCCCGGAAATTTCATCAAATCGAGGCAGAAAATCAAAATTACATCAAACCCACCAAGGCAAGATTGTCTCATCCAGTTTCTACAATCTACCATCCGGCATAGTTAAATCCCTACCTTTTGACAGCAAATTACTTGCCTTTAAGACCATAAACACATTCAATTTTTAGCCCAACGTAGTCAATTCCCCCAAATTAATTACCAAAACCGCAAACAACAAACAAGGCAATGCTTATTAGAAAAAGAAAAATCGCATACTCCACCAAAACCTAATTGTCAGATCATAAATTAATAAAGACCGAAAAGGAAATCAAACAAGGAATTCAATTTCCGTGAAATGAATTACCTGGAGCGAGCGACATTGCCGCACTGCTTACACTTGGGCTTGTTAAGGCCGCGAAGGGTCTTGGGGAGCGTGTCGGTACGGTGCACCGGATGGAAGGGAGCGACGGGAGGTGCGGCAGCCGTGGCGGTAGTGGTGGGGCGAGTGTCGCCGGAGCTGGTATTTCTTAGGGCAGGCGAGGGCGAAGGAGCAGCTGCCATAAGGGCGCGAAATCGGGTTTTGTATTTTAATTGCGTTTTATGGAATTAAAGAGAGATTTAGAGAAGCGAGAGTTGTGTTTGGTAAGGGATCGGCGTGAGGTGTGTGGTCAGCCACTTGATGTGTAAAAAAATATTGAGTCTTAATGGGCCGGGTCAGTTTTTGTTTCTAGACAAAAAGTTAATTCTCTCTTGTTTTGTCGAGCTATTTTTAAGACTATCTAATAATTATTTCGTTTTTTTTTTTCAACAATTAATTCATTAGTAAGTTGATTTTAAAAAAAAAAAGTAAAAGTAAATTTTAATTCAAACCAAATTTTGAAAAACAAATCACAAAAAACCAAATTAGTACCCTGTAGCAGAAGGACATACGAGTCCAAAACATCTCGTGACCAAATGCAACAGGCTGTTCAAAAAGCCAAACTTTGAAAAAATATCAGGCAATGGAATAGGCTACGTGTAGATTTTACATTCTAGTACTACATCACGTGAGCTGCGTTAGTCACATCACATACAAGTCCAAAACATCACACAAAAGGACAGGCTGTCACCTAACTCTGGATCCAAAGCGAATGTAAACAGTGCATGTGAAATACACGTGAAGCTAGTCCTTGGCCCAGGATAGTACAAGTAAGAGACACCATGCAAACATGCAATAATGAGTAGGTAAAACGCAAGAATGTCATGCCACAAGTTTATACTCACAAATAATATTAAAAACATAAAGTGTACGAAAAATCTATTTGTAAAGCTAAACATGGCATGTCACATCAATATATATAAAAGCAGTTCTTGAGAAAAACACATATACATATATACACATAAAAACAAAAGATCCAATCACAGGTACCTGCGATGTCACATCCTTTCGAGCTATGAAAGTTAGAGTCTCCGATAATAATTGCACCTAAGCATAATATTGGGTCCCGCCAGTAAAACTCAACTAAAATGATTAAATTTGGAAAAACAAACGGCGGATTCGGAATCAGCGAGTCGAAATACGCTAAGAGAGGTGATGGGTAAATTTTTGTAAAAAGTCAACGAAAAAGTAAACGGTCAACCCTAAAAGTCACCTTGGTGGTCAACTATGTTAAAACTTCAGAATTTTTCTAAATGGATGTCAAAAATATTTATCATTTTTTTAGTAGGAAATAATTATGAAATGGATGTCAAAAATAATTGTATTTTTTAAATTAAATAAAAACTATTAAATTTTTTTTTATCACGATATTCTACGTTAATCTATATTGAGGGGAGTGAAAGGTTTGAACAAGCAACGTAAGAACATCTTCAATGAACATGTCGAAAGATAAATGTTAAATGTTAATTTGATGGCTGACGTGGCAATGTCACAAATTGAATATTGTTCACCACTAGATCCTAGTTTTCTCCCCAATCCATATAAAACTTGCTCACAAAGTGAATATTGTTCTATTATCAAATTACAAGAATCTCATGGTGCTCAACGAAGTAAATACTAGTTGCTACATCTTCCAGTCACTCAGAAATACTTGGTTTCCATGAAGCCAGTGAAGAATGTTTTTTGTTAAGATTAATGATCTATCACATCCAAAACTCATGTGGTCTATCTTTAAAAATAAACATTCCGACTCTCATTCATGAAGAAGATGCAACTTGTATTGCTTAAATGAAGGAAGGATTCATCTAAGACGATAAGACTAAACACACATCTTTAAAGTTTTCAATACACATGAGCTCCAAAAGACTAAAGTTACTAAAGTTAGACAAACTCATTCCAAGGATAATCTAACAAGTCTGACCACCAAATCTTTATCAAAGTATACATTCAAGAAGCTGGTGCATATGGTATCGGATTAACATAGTTGACCACCAAGGTGATTGATGATTGCAGAACCATATGCACTAAGTGTGGTGCATTGGTATGTCCTAAGCTCTAGTATTTCCTATCCTTTCTTTCATAGCCCATAGCCTAAACCTTACATTACAACCTTGTGAAAGACCTAGCTGATCTTTGGGGATGTATTCATAGGTGCTGGTAAGTATGTGTTTTATCCATATTCTTAGTATTTGATTCATTCCATGAGATTTGTTCAGAAATTGTGCTTTTATTTCATATTTCATATGTGAGAATTTTTTTTTTTCCCTTTTACATAATTTCACTCACATGTATTTGTGGAGAGACTACACCTTAGGATCTGAGTGAAAATTTGAGTGATATCTGTGAGGACTAGAGTTGAGGCGAATTATATCTTTGGCATTTAAGTATGGTATCTTTGAAGTCATGAGTCATGGAGTAATATTTTTACACTTTACACATTATACGATTCTTTGAAGTGGAAGACTTTTGGTTTGGATGTATGACTAAGCTTTCATTGGTTCTTATTAGTTTGTTTCAAGTATGCCTTAACCAATTTGTTTGCAGAGTCTGTAGATGTTTGTGGGCATCGTCACTATAAACCCTCAGGAGACACAACTCCTCTGACTAAGGACACCTAGAGGTTTAAAGGCTTGTTGCACATGCTCAGTGCAATCGTTTAGCCATCGAAAGCGGTATAGTTAGATTTTATAGTTTTGTGTGTTTTTTAGTTATAGTTTTGCTCAAGAACTAGCAAAAATCAAGTTTGGGGGTATTTGATAACTCATATATTTCATACATTTATACCATCCATTCCTAGTTTATTTGTGACACCGGTTGCGTTTCACCCTATTTTGTATCAATATGCAGTTACGTGGGTTTTAGGATCAATTTGAAGTCAAAAGAAGTGAAAACATGCCATTTTTGGGGTTGACCCTTATTCAAACGTGGAAAGAAGTTTAGTGGCCTCTTTTGAAGCGCAAATAAAAAATCCAAAGCGAATCTGGTTGTTTAGAAGACCAACAGCAGAATGGGAAAGGAATTGGAATATCTAGCATGATTTGGAGGAGCCAAATAAGGAAAAACGTCCAAAATCTGGGCTTAATGGTTGGGATCATCTTGCAATCAGCTGCAGCCCCATTTAGCATATAAATACTAGGGTTTCAGATCACTTTTACACAAGCATCCTTTGGGGACGCCCAGAGCTCTCTATTTTCTCTTTCTTTGACCTTTCTTCTAGAAACAAAACCCTATTTTCCTTCACCATCTGCTGCCAACAAAGAAACCACACATCTGCGCTGTTCTTGGAGAAGTTCAACATCAAAATTGCTTCAAGGGCATTTCTTCTATGAACCTTAGTTTCATTCATGTTGTTCTTGATATTTATATATTATGTAATCATGTTATGTAATTAAGTTCATAGCTGGGGATTTCGATGTAGCCTTGCAAAACTACTCTTTGTTATTAAGTTAAAGTATTCAAATTACCAATATGTGTTCTTTTTCATTCACTGATTTTATAGTTGTTTGTTAATCTTAATGTTTGATCACCATTAGGGCTGCTTATGAATTATTTGATCAAGTTATACTGCTCATCATGCTTAATCTTGGTAGACATGTGAACGATTGATGAAATTGTTATTCATACATATTGCCATGTGATTTCTTTGGTTCTTTGAAATTTTCTTGTTCTTAATGGATTCTTATTTGGTAATCTAAGTTGCAACTAGGTTGCAGATTAGGAGCACTTGATCACAACCACACATCAATAAATGAGTAAAACGAACCCTAGTTGCAGATTGGAGAGTTGAATGTATCTTGACTTAATTTTCATGGAATTGGCTTATAATGGTGAAATCGGTATCCCTAGTTCAATTCCTATTATTTCTAAATCAACCTATCATTTATCCTTATCTTTCTTTCATTTTTAAGTTATTTTAGTTTTCGATTGAAAAATCTAAATTTAGTTTGCATTTTTATTGTTTAGTTAGGGGTCACATAAAGTTAGTAACTTGTAGAGATCTAATCAGTCCATGTGGTTCGACACCCTTACTTGTGCCATTATACTATCCTTATATTTGCACTTGAATGGAACACAACACATTCACACCCATTCCACAACACTCCCCTTGGATGCCCTATCCTTGCATGCATGGATTGACGTCGATGAGGTTGTTTTTGTGTTCCTTGTGAGCCTAGGAGCTCATCCATATAGTTAGTTGGACGTGAAGACTTCATTTACCAGAGAACAAGAAAACCCCAATCAGGTCCACTGTTCATCCATCATGATCGAAGAGGTTTTGTTGAGTTTGGAAGTGTTAGAAAGCCTTAGAACTTCTTCACAAGCTTAGGGAAGAATTTTGGAAGGTTTTGGACATCAAAAAGCTTGGGTTTGACAAGTTGTAAAGGTGGCCGGATTATCGTGATTTTTCCGGCAAGATTCCATGAGTTTTAGGACCTAAAAGTGGTAAGGTTTTGTTCTACTCGTTGTAAACTTCATTGTGGTATAAATTTCGTGAAGTTTGGTTGAAAAATGAAGAAGATATGAGATTAGAAGTTTTTCCAGTTTCCGGCGGCGCCTCCAACGAGGATCACCAGAAAAGACAAAATATTCCGTCAACTTTGACGGAATATACTAATGACGTTACTAACGGCATTAGATATATTTAACAGTATATTCCATTTTTGGACAGAATATTCCCTAACGTCGTTAGGGTTTCCGTACGTGTGCCAGGCACGTGCTTGCACGTGGCTGGCTTGTGAGGGCGCGTGGGTGATCGGAAAATTTTTCTAAACATATGGGGATCTTCATGGTGTTGAGTAGATTACGTTGGTATATTCAAACACCCCATTTGAGCAATATATAAAAAGTTATTAGCTAGTTTCGTTTATGTACTTTAAATTAACGTTTATATAGTTGTTTCGCATATAGGTGAGACCTATCCTTAGGACGAGCGTAGTCAATCAAGGCTTGGGGGCTACGACCTTCCACATACCAGTGATTGGGGTTTTGGTTTTCCGTATATACCTATATACTTGAGATTTTTCCCAGAAAATCGATTTAAATGAAATTATGTTTAGAAATGCTATGCATATTGATTTATACG